CCCGCCAGACTGTATATGAGAAAGGACGATTCAGGTTGAGTTCTTGTTACCGTCATTGCTTATTCACCATTGCTGATAACATAGTCTTTGGATTCATCTTATTGTAGCATAAGCCACATAGCTTTAAGACAGTCCCTAGTATCGCCTTAATCCCTAGATTGCCTAATACCTCGAACGTGGTCAGATAACTTACCAGTGATTGCTACTGTCAATTTAAGCGCACTTCCCCTCAACTAGAGTGTAACTCAAGATTAGGTAGTGCATCAGGAAAAGTTCTGATTACGAACTGTTTATGTCTTACTAGGGAGTAATAGATAGAATAGTAATACTAGTAGTCTTAAAGGTCATAATATTGGTCGATTGGTCGATAATACCAATTACTTCAGACCACAAGATCACTGGTGATTCGAGTGTGTGGGGTGTATCTCGAGTGAGCTAGGGAGAGATACTTTTGCACACTCAAACAACATGCGTTAGATACTTGACGTGTCGGAGCATGATGCACCCAAAATCCCACGGAATAGTACAAACGGGGCTGAAGCAAAAAAAAGGGAGAAACCCCTTCTGAGGAGAGGTAGAGGCTCACATAGGTAGGAAGGTTGAATCTTCGCTGTGCGCAAGATATTTTTTTCTCAAGAAACATGGAAGAAGCGTCACGCGCCACGAAAGTACGCGCACGCCTAGACTGGATAAGGCTCTAGCGGGAAGATGATATGTGATAATTCTCTTCCGCTATGGTAGTCGAGTTCGTACGACAGAAGGGTTGAAAAGGATTGACTCGTGTTTTTCAAAGCTTATGTTTATGTTCTGATCCGTAGCTGTGCTTTGTTGGCTCGACCGGGGTAATTAGATCTCCATATGGAGGGGGTGTTAGAGCTGCTTCGTTCGGTCTAGTGAATAGGTCTCTAGAGGTTGCTCTAGGAAGAATGCAGATTTGCTCAAGTTACGGTATGAATTCAGGTCAGAGAAGGCCACTGTAACAAGGGTGTTCCTGAGTAGTTAACGTTGCTTTCCTTCCTAATGCCTTCTCCCTATATAGCTACCGTTACCGGGTCCTTGCATAGTAGTAGTGGTGTGGCCGTACACTCAGTCGCGGGGTCGCCTTTGACGAGAGAGGTTTACGAGAAGTTACTGAAGTCCTTTGCAACTAACGTGGCTGAGTTGAGGAGCTGTGGAGCTATGATTAGCAGTAGGCCCGAATTTTACGGAAAATTTTCTCATGAAAATTTCGGAAAATTTAACGAGAATGTATAGACTGTATACACCCCTCGAGTGAGGGGAAAGTTTTACTACTGAATTTATCATAGGAGTTGATCTTCAAAATGCAGAAGTTCTACTATCGAAGTACTGTGAATAAGTCGTTGGTAGTGGGTATTTGAAAATGGTGAATTTATTTCGTTGCTTTTCGCTTTCCGTTTGGTTCGGTAGTAAGTGTGGATGATGAGAGTGTTATTAACTTTGGAATATATGTCCGTTTTTCAGCTGAGCTCAGGAGTTCCTATCACTAATTATAGGAGTTTACATACTAATAAGTGTACAGAATACAAATTTCCCATTCATTTAAACGCGAGAGCTGCCACCACTAGGTGAACATGATGTTTGTCGGAGTTGCGACTTGAGTGGTATTGTTAGGTTCCCTGTATAAGTTTCGGCGGAAAAGTCAAATTTTTCGGCATTAGAAAAAGTCATTTTTTCAAGTTTGTGTTGATTTTTCCCTCGGTTATCAGGTTTGGGAATCTCAGTCCTTCCCGAGAGCAAGTCGAGGCCTTTGAAAAGCCAAGTGCTGCCGGTTGCCCTTCTACCCAAACCCTTCCCTAGAAAACAGTAAGTGCTGTTACTCCTTTCATGTGATGGATGGATCACCGCGCTGGACTCAGGTTTGAGGAGGTATGGCAATTGAGTGCTGTTATCGATAAGCTTATAGACGGGCTTACTGTGCATCCAGAGTGGTTGGTGGAGGAGCTGGAAGGTGTAGGCGTATTTGGTGACAGTATGTGTGTGATCTTCTTAGTTGATCTCCGTCGTTAGCTATGGAGCGGTACGTATGTACATGATTTTCGGGCGTGCGCAAACTAGTGCATGGTTCTTTCTTTGACCGTGTCCAATGAATTGAACGTTGATTACTCGTAGTTCACAATCTTCTGAATTTTTCTAGAATAATTCGGGTTTTTTTTCTCACACGAGTTTATCAAGGTGATGAAGAACAAATATTTTTCCCTTGCTTTTCGAGTAGGTTATTCAAGCTGATGACTTCACCAGAAGGCTGGTGGACATCTGCCGGGAGGTCTACATTGATGGTGACAGGGATCATTCTAAAGACATACGAATGTAGGATTCGGAAGGATGGGGGTTTTTTATCACTACTACTATGAGTAGTGTCGCAGTAGTATTACTAAAGTAGTATTTACATAGTATTATCAGTAGTTGTGTTCATCAGCCGGGATGCTCATGAACACAACTACTGATAGTAGTAGTTCGCATTGCACTACTACTACTACTACTACTACTACTACTACCTAGGATTCAAGTTTGTTGTGGGGGGATTCGGGTTGACTTTATAGCGTTGTTATGTTACTTTGTAATTTAGTGTTGGAGTCTTGATAGAGGAGTGTATAGCCGGCATTCAACGTGAGTTTGGTTTATAGGTATTTACTACGACAAGATTATCTCCCGACTAGAATTGGCAATAGGTTGCTACAAGTTGAAGTTAATACTGTTGCGGCGGCTTTCGCTGGCATCGTATCGCGAGTTTCGGTAGGTGTGGGGGGAGGGGTCTCTGGTGCGTTGTGAAGGAATTGTGGTATTAATTCTTATTGTATTTATGAGGAATCGACTTGTAGATCAGACGGGTAGTTCTTTGTTTTAGTGTTTGCATCGTATGACGGCGATGGCTGCCTTGGATGGTGTGGCTCAGTTCACCCTGCCTGATAACAAAGTTGTCAATGGTTTTGCTGATGCTATAGCGACGGCTAATAGGCTCTATAACGAG